AACATATAAGTGTTCAAGATAAGTATAAAACACATCGTTAATCTTACATATATGTAATTCTATTAGAAAGATTCAGAATAGGCTTATTTATGGTTATATGACATACTTCAGTTCTTCTTTTGCTCCTTTCATCTTCTGCAATGAATAACTCAAAGTACCTCCTCAAATGCAAGTTACACATAAACCTCATACGTAGTTTCTTATTCTCTCTGCAAGGCTTTCCTGAGACTGAACACAGATGACACACAAAACACCACCAATTCCAGCTGTACTAGAAGATACTTTCTGCAGCAAAACTGAGTGTGACACCCCTTTGTTCCTCCCATCTCCCAACACACACTTCTCTTTCTTGCCCTTATTCCTTCAAAGGAATAATCTTTTTTCTCACACATCAGAGAATTTTCTCTACCATCTAGTTTCCCCTCACTGCAGCTTTTCCCTCATTCCAGAGTCACTTTGATTGCAACACTGAGCTCCACTTAATGCAGATATGAAAATTTTCTTTGTAATGCAATGCAAAACCTGCATAGAAAACCGTCATCTTGACTCTAGAGAATTCAGACCAATTACTGAATATCTGGACACACTGCACAGTGTTCTTAAAGGCAGAAATCCTCTTCAAATGACCTTAGTGATGACACACACTTGTCATTTGATTTTGGCCATCTCAGACAATTATTCAATGAAGTGATTAAGTCTTCCAAAATTTTCCCAAGTGAGTGTCAGAAACAAATCTTGGTTCATTTTTAATACACCTCCTAAACAGTAAGGAGCAGGAATTTGTAGCATTAGTAGTCTACCTTAAAATTCCAGGATAAAGTACAGTCTTTTGTTCTTTTACCTTCTGGATTTGTAAGTGACCTACAGTTTGCTCGACTAGCCAGCAGGAAAATAAGGTCTGGTCAAATAGCTACTAGCTAATCCAATCATTCAAACCAGAACAGAGTGAAAACACTTTGACTTTTACATTGATTTAAGTAAATACAGTTCAAGCATAAGAGAAATAAGGATGATCACACAATCAGTGCTGTAAATCAGGGGGAGGAAAAGAAACTAGACATGCAGAGTATTTCAAACAGTTTCACTGTCAAGGCAGCTATCACTTCAGAGTCCTCGGAGACAAACCTGTACTGGTTTTTTAGATGATTGCCAGCTGCAGTGAAGCCTCTACTCCAACTTCAGCCACTTTCCCTCTGCATTCTGAGCTCATCAGAACAACAAAGCACCCGTCACAGGCACCCAGCGTCTTTGCCTCTCCCTCTACAGATCCACTAGAGGGAGATCCAAAATTAAACAACCTCAAATGATGCAGCCGCAGAACAGCTGAGGATGCCAACTCCAAGCAAAGATCAATGACATTTTTCAAATATATGCACGGGAAGGCGACTTTATGTTTGTTTTTTTTCTAAAGAGCAAAGGTGCCATAAGTAACAGCTGACTTGCAAAACAAAAGTATGCCTGCAAAATAATCTTTAATATTCATCAGAAGTCATTTAGATTTCTGTGAACCCTTGCATAAAGTTTACAATTTATCTACAGCTTTATGAATTTCTGAACAGTATGCTCAGCTAACGTTAAAACTGCTTTTCTTTTGTGAATAAAATACAACTTAATATAACCAAGCTAATAAAAGAAATTGCCAAAATGAGAAAACAGAGCAGCAAATAAGGATACTGCAAGAATCAAACTTTAATTGTAAGCAATTCTAGAGTAAAAGGGAAGTTATCTTCATAGGATTTCTTTATTTTACTTGAGTTAGAGATTCTATAATGCTGTTTTAGATATACAAGGAAACACAGCAATTTACATAATTATTAGAGATAAGTTGCCCTCTTCAGGAACAGATTTTTGAAGCATTATTGTCAGAATACCAACTAGGACTGCATATGTTAGAAATTTTTAAAAGTCTAGCAGATAAATCAGAAGAAGAAAAACTATCAATACATAATGTATTGATCTTCACATATTAGCACAAATTCCTTTCGTAAAACATACCCTCCAACTCCTTTTCAAAAAAGTCCAATTTGTTTATAAACAAGGGAGAACAGTTGCAATCCATTTCCTAAAATGAAGAGCTAATATTAGAGCCCCAGAGACAGTAACCTGCCTTAGTAAATATTCAGCTATGTCAGAGATGTCAGGGTGGGGAGGGAGAAATTAGCACCAAGGATTCATTTCTAGCAGCACTTTTAGGAAATTACACCAACTATAGAGAAAAGAAATGCATTAAACTTTGAGCAAGGAGTCCAATTTGTTTTTAAGCTGCAAGCTACTTAGTATCCTATTTCCACTATTGAAGCTGGCACACTCAGAAAGATACTTGATCTTTTTTATTTCTTATACTGATACGGGTCAGAAAAAATAAGTAATATGTAGATCATACACTGACAAACCTCCTAGCTGATAAAACTTAGGAACATGTGCTGGCAGTATTCTAACACAGATACATTATGAACATTTATCTTTAAACATTGCCTGGAAATGGCAACGGGCCTACAAAGCAATTCTATGTGCATAATCATTAAGTTTTTTTATAAACTGCAGTACAAAACTATTAATCTTCCAACATCTGCGGAAGCAATGCTGATAATGTTAAGCTTTGGTTTTATTTGATCTTGATGGGAAGTAGAGCACCTACATGTCTGTGAAATAGGTATGTGACAGCTAAGCTTAGACAGCCACAGTCCTTCTTGTCTGACCAAAATGTAGAGGAACAGCCATCTCCTGTGCCACTGCTGCTCCTTAGTTTGTGATGCATTGTGACTTGCACCTACAACTATCAAGTCAAATCACAGGGAGGAGAAACAAAATGACTATCTCACAATTCAGAAAAACTTAAAAGGTTACAATCAGTCACTATCAAACATAATTATACAACTTAATTCTTATGTCCCTGTCAGAGCTACATCTCAAAGCTTTTAAGAACAAATTAGACTACAGCACTGTAACCAGCAACAGTTGATTACAATCATAATCAACTCTCATTTTATGAACAACACAAAAATTCATCTAAAAACAAACAAAAATACCCCAATCATGAGATCAATTGGTATTAAATTGAATGAAGCAAACTCAAACTGAAGGGCCACTTCAGAGATCCGTGGAGAGAGTAGTGGTAGAATGATTTGGAAGATTCATGATTTGGGATGAGCAGAGGACTGAATTCTAAGTATAATGATTTCCAGACTCATTGCAAAGATCAGCTCCCTTCCCCTCACCATTTAAGAAATTACTGAAGTTACACAACAGAAAAAAGATTTATTTTCAGTGAGCTGTTCGCTCCTGTGGAATTACACTGATTCTAGGCTACTGTTTGAAGGATGTTTTGTATTACAAAAGTTACATTTAAATCAACCCCTAAAAACTATTTTAGTTTTCTCCAAGTCTTCACAAATTGAAGTGGCATCTCACTTCAACAAATTTTCTGCTACCGAAGAATATAACAACATAGCTGTTAGCCCACATATACTTTGCATAAAGCAGCAAGAGAACTAGTCATTAGACAAATCACAATAATCCATGAAATTAAAAGAGAAACACTGACCAATTAAAAAATGAGCACTGTCATGTCTGCCCATGGTATTTCAGCCCCTCTAGGAGCTCAGTTTTAATGTTAAGAGGAGGAGTTGAATTATGAACATGTATGTGTATATAAACACATACACACTTGTTTGAAACATGTTGTGCCAAACTCCTCAAGTACAGGTAATAGGAAATAACATAAAACCCTCAAACTTGTGGTAATTACCATAAATCAGGTCTTTTCAGACTTTCTATCAAATGAGTAGAAGCTAACACTTCATGCATTCCCAAATGTTGGTTGGGAGACAGATGATAAACAGAATGCATGTAATGTTTACAGTAAGGTATCCTTCAGGGAGAGGAGAACTGAGGGATTTAAAAGAGAAAAATATCCAACTGAGAGGTAGGAGAATGGGGTACAGAACTGGATTATTTTAGCTGTCAAAAAGAAACCTTATACCTCTAGCTACCCTTTCTGTTTTGGCCTTGTATGCTGCATATAAGCACAAGCACTGCAGAATGTATCATCCTTGGACTGGATAGCCTAGTTTCAAAAGTCCTGAAACAACTATCAGAATGAAAAGCAACTTGATAAAGTCACCCCTTTTTGCTGTAGTTATGATAGCCCTAGTAAGGTTATCTACAGCCTCCCTTCTACACAAGAGAGAGAAAACTGGCACAGAAGTACTATCTCCTGTTACATGGGCAATCTTTAAAGTTTAATGAGGACAAAAGAATTCTATTTAGTTACAAGAACACAAAAGTCTCTTTTAGTCTTAAAATAAAAACTCCCTCTGTGTGTGTCCCAGTGTCATACTGATCAATTTGCTGTCGAGCCTATCTAGAATATATTACAGACACCACCTGAAGACTGAAAGCCACTAATTTTTCCACCAATGTTTGAAAACCTCTAAGTCACCCTGTTCTCCAAACAAATTAAATGATAGACCTGTTGTCTAAATTACATGTGCCCATCTGAATGTTACCCCTGGATCCAAACTCTGTATGGTAAGAACCACCAAAAGAGGATGACCCGAATTCCAGAGTTTTGAGGACAAAAAATATTTTCATAATAAACCAGTACTCAATGAGAAGCAAAATATCAATACACATTAAGGACACTGGATGTCTAGAAATCCTGAAAAATACCCCAATTAAGAGGTATGCATTTCTTGGTCAGTTTTTCTGGGTTTGTCTCCTTAAAGAAAAAAAAGCGAAGTCAGCAAGTCTCTGTATGTAATAGAGAACATGAAAATCGATTTACTTGTTAGGAATTGCATTTACACAGATGGCAGTCAAGTTGAGAATCACTATTAAGTAGCAGTAATTAGGCAGATAAAACACCCAAATAATTAAAATGGCTTGAGGCTGAATTGTGATTACTAACAAGACTTGACTTTTGTGCATCAATATTTGAATTTTTTCTGTCTGTGTATTTGAACAATCTTTTTAAAAAAAAAAAGTTAAGAGACTCTTACCAGCTTCCTGTGAATTTAATACTTCTAAGGCATGCATCATGGCACTTGCGAAGACATTGGCATCTTCTTTGCTGCCAAAATTCAGACCATACACCTGCCTAGCATCACGCCACTGGTGGAAGGTCTGTGTAGCCTGATTGTACTTCAGCCCTTTTGGAATGGCACAATTTATTACCACCTATAATCATAAAAAAAAAAAAAAAAAAAATTACTTATGTTTATAGTTTGTGTTTCATCACAAGTTTTAGCTTCATGTAGATTTTATTCCTTAACCATGTGAGTTAATTCAAGACCCATAGTCTGCAAGATCAGTGTTGAGGCACATAACCATTTCAAGCTTAATTCCAATGCCGCATGAAGTCAGTGATGAGAATTCACAAGGGGTCTAATGAGATTTTGTAACAACTTTTGTAGCTTAAGCATTCTCATTTCAGAAGACGCAGTGATGTTCATAACAGCAATGGTAGCAATATCAACAGTCATGACTTAGTAGCAGAGTACTTGATGTGAATATGCATTTGGATTTCAGAAACTCAGTTTTCCATTAACTTCATAGAGCACTTGGTAGAATTACTTTTTTGAACTAAGTTATCGCCTCTTCTCTGTGGCTGCTGCACCCCTTAGCTTGCAGTACTTTCAGTAGCAGTTTAGGTGGACTTCTACTATGCATCACCAGGTATCGTTTTGCAAGATCATTATGGCTCACACAAAAGGTGGTAAATTCTAGCTACTGTCCAACTGGACAACCATTTATCATCCACTAAGAGGATTCCATTGCACTTGGGTAACTATATCCTCTAACTTTTTTCCATTGAATAATGGAAGGAAAAAACCACATTTGTTCTCAGATGAATGCACAGAGACCATTTATTACTTGGAATAAATGTTTAATGACAAATCACACAGGATATTATCAAGTCTATGTTTCAAGTGTGAGATAAACAACCAAGAACAAACCAAAAGAATTTTATGAAATGCTGGGAGAGAACGAAACAGATATAGAAGCCTTCCTCAAACAAAAAGATTATATTTTTAACCCCACCCCAAGTACCAGGAGGCAGAGCACTAAAGTTGCCATTTAATCAAGATCCAATAACTTCATCAAGGAAATTAAGATGTAATCCTTGTTGCTCCCTTCTCAGTCTCTCAAAGTGGTAGATGATCAGCATCACCAGAAGGTTTTCTGAACAAGATGATCTGGGGAAATGAGATCTCATGCATCCAACTTCTCAGAATACAGGAGGAGCTACAAGAGCATTGCCAGTACCTACATAGACAGCAGCTAACAGTATAGAGTAGGGAAGAGAAAAACTGTTTAGGTTTTCACCCGGCCTTAAAGAGAATCAGATGACTTCTATGTGCACCACTGACCTTTGTATCTATCTGTAGAAAGGAATGGTAAAAGAATGCACAAGGACTATAGCCTTGGAGGTACGTAAAGTGGTTAGTCTATGGGGAAAAAGCCAAAATGCAGTTTTGCTACATTGATTAAAAAGAAAATTTAATTAATTATTTACAGTTCCTGTAATTTTACTGAACTTATTTCTTAATGTTAAAAACAATCCAAAAAATAGCTTAATATTCTAAATATTCAAAATTTTCAGAGATTCGCTTACCTGATGATCCTGAATCTTCCTGCCCACTACTCTGAATGTATTGTTGCCTGTGTGATGATATATATGAACTCTGCTGAATCCAGTTGATCCACCAGCTGGTACCCATTTCTTATTGGCATCATCATAGACCATTACAGCAGCTCGTGCTTGGCAGATACTCTGTTCACTGTTAAGATACAAGAATTTTAGAGTAGAACATAAAATTACTTATGGCAAATCATCATCTTTTTTGTTAACTTTTTTTTTAAACTCAAAATGTTAAAGCAATACTCCATGCAACTTGTTGAAGCTTCCACCTTTCTAAATACAAAACTGCTAGCAGTTTGTCATTTTGCGTAAAGGTATTCGTCGTGACAAGTTGTGGTCAAGACAAACAGGCCTTACTGCTAATGGAAGAGATCAAGAGATTTACTCTTCCTTTTTTTAAAACTTTTTATCCAGCAGGTTTTTTTCCCCACTTTTTTTCTCAACGCCAACCATGAATTTTAATTAAATGCCATAATCAGATATGAAATTTTCTGCAAAGACAAGAACAAAGAATCTGGAGTTGCACTAGCTTCATACGGTTTATGTTTTCTAGGGGCAACTATTTCTACAAGAAATGAGGACTGGACGGCCCTTGTCTCCTTTTAATGTATATAGAAGAAAACACACAGACACATGATAAAGTTCAGCACAAAAAAATCCACCTGCTCATAAATGAAATGCTTTTTGGTTTTGACATATTTTACAACAGTTGATGCCTAGATGTAACATTTTTCCCCTTAGAAAAGGTTCTATTGGTTACTGAAAAGCAGAGTTTCATCAGGAGATTGTTAATCCTGATTATGGCAGTCATCTGGAAGCGAAGGTACAACCTAAAATTAAAAGGGAGCATGTCATGAATGTCATCGTATTAGAAAGACAAGAAAGCAGAACATACCGTAAACACACTATTTATTAGGAGAGGAGAAGGTGATACTATGCAAGTTGTCTTTACGGGAAATGTCCAAATGCAGACAGGAAATAAAAATAGAAAGGAATGATTTTTTATCAGCAAGTCAAATTCTCTGAACATACCACTCCAGCACATCCAATGCTATAGAAAGCACATGATGCCTGGCTTGCAAGGAATGTGGCCTGCCATTTGAAAAACTGAGAAGGCTGAAGAGACATGCATTCTTCATAAATTACAAAAGGAAAGCAGTTAAATATTTCTTCATATGAAGGAGTTAGAAGATGACTTTCTTCCTCCCCCCCCCCCCCCCCGAGTCTTTCTTGGGGGTTTTTTGTTGGTTTTTATCTGTTGGTTGGTTTGTTGGGGGGGTTGGGATGTGTGTGTGTTGGGGATGCTTTGCAAGGTTAGGGGAGAAGAGAGAATACTGACACCATGTCTCTCATCCATGTGAGAGATTCAAGATGAAGTGAAGAAATATATTCTTGATTTAAAAAAAAAACACATCTGTTCTAGTCTCATCACCTATTCAACAACTAGATCAGAATGGGATAACCACCTCTAATTAGACCACCATTTTTCTAGCCAGAAATACATTCAATATAGGGATAGTAAAATTATAATATACATATATACAATGCTTCTTTTCTAAGCATAGTTTACTGTTTAGACCAAAAAGACCACATTTGATCCAAGAAGACAGATTAAATGCAAATTACATAAAATCAGTTTCAAGTTTCAGGTGTTTCACAGTCCCACTAAAAGCATGCCACGGGTAAATTAGAAGGTTCTCTCCTCTGAGAAGAGTACAATGCAAGAACCTACTGGATTTCTTTGCTTTTAGAGTATTTTGGCACACAACTATCTTAAAGCTCAAACCTAGAAACATGCTGTACTGTTCACAAAGTACATGACAAACAGTAGTGGATTTTCTAAAAATGCATAACTATATTTCAGAAAACTTGGAAAATTTCTGAATGCAAAACAAATTTTTGCTACATTTGAATTTGGATCACTCACTGGCAAGATAAACCATACATGACAGAACCTAGATACTGATTTGGAAGCAGAGCCATGTGGTTTGCACAGTTCTTGCCAAAAAATAACTTTATCTCAGTCATGTGTCAGACAGATAAAAAAATCATTTAGAATCTATTAAAAATTGAGACTATGAGTATAAGCTAATATGTTCCGGTTACAATGAAGGTAGAACCACAGAGTGATTGAGTAATGGTACAGTGATCAGAAGACTTAATTAGTACGACAGCCCATCAAGTTCAGATGTTCCTATTCAGATCATTCTCACTCTTTGCCCTGCCACGGTCCTCCCACAGGCTTAAGTTTTATAAAAAAGTTTTTACATTATTTTATTTAACATAACAAGAAAAAAACCTACTCATTTTATAACTATTTGGTATTCAAGTGGCACAATTCATAAGCACAAATAAGATGACCTTGAGTAGAATTTCTAGCTTTTCTTTAACAACTGTTAAACTATTTTTAGTTCCACTTCTCAGGCTATGTCTTATAACTGGAAACATTACACAAGTCTAGATCTCAAATACTTCATGCTCCATTTAAAATAAAAGAATTTTCTTAATAGCACGAGATTATTCTTACCCATATAAAGCTACGAGATGATTCACATACTTTAAAAAAAATGACAAATACAAACAATTTCCAGTTGACCTATTCAATCACTACACAATAAGACTTCTTCCTTCATTTCATAGAAATCCTGTAACTAAAATTTTAATGTTCCAGGTCTATAATTTTCATATCCAGGTACCAATCTGAAGGTGACATACTCCCCTCCTGCCAACAGTTACTACCACCCATCACTTTGTTTATCAGACTGCAGCAGTAAGATAGGAAAATGAAGCTATCACTATCAAAAATAAATTAAACCATCACAGTGTGCTAGCCTTTTTCCTGGGTTCAATAATTGCGCATTACTAGATGTAGAGGAGATTAATTCAATTTCTTTCTCTTATTACTAAGTTCTGCACTCAAAAGTGACTACTTTTTGTTGTGAAGAAAAGCATGGCTTTAGCAAAGAAGAATCTTTAGGTCTGCTCTTCAACAACCATTTGACAGTTTAATATTTGAATATATTATATTTCATATTACAGCAATTGGACACCATAAATTAAGTATTTAAGTCTTAAAATAACTTACACTTTTTAAAATTAAGATACATAAGTGTACTCCACCAACTTCAAAGAGCCACACCGAATTGAAAATCCATGCTGTTAACTCATCACTATCTTCGACAGGTCTAATGAAAAAAAGGTTTAGTTTTCTTTCTATGATCCACCTCTTCCTAGTAAAATTCTGCGTTTAACATCCAGACTGTTACTAGAACCTGAACCAGTGCACTTTGTATTCTTCTTCTCAAATACATGTGAACTTAACCTTCAGTTCAAAGGAACAAGAGCCAAGTGAATCAGAACAGTATCATTTATTGTAGTTCTTGCTTTTCAAGCTTATTACATTTCCCTGCTGTATTTCTAACAGGAAACAGGTCTTCACTGATCTCAGTATTTACACATGAATTCTTCACAGTCCACAGGGCTTTCTGTAACGCACGTGTCCCTCAGACTGCAGGAACTGACTGTAAGATGCTAGGATGACTTACTTCATTCACTGCACCAGAATCACTTTGGTCTTATCACAAACATGTTTTTCTTTTTTTTTTTTTTTTTTTAACAGACAGATTACTTCAGCACTAGTGGGAAATAAACAAATTGTCTACAGTCATGCTGCAACAGAAAAGAAAAAAAATCATCTATTTGCCAAGTCATTAGGCTTTCAAAAGCATCCTACAGGGTTTACTTGCCCATCTACAAATTTTCCTTTTTGTGGTATGATGTACTAGTGTAATGCTTCCAGAAACCATTACACATGGATTAGCCTGCACCTTCCCAACATGAGAGCTCATTAGGGGATGCGGGAGAATGAGCGAAGGGATGCATCTCCAGCTTCAAAATGCTACTGCCAAAACACACAGCTGCTCAAAGAACTGATTGCTAACTTATTAGGGCAGTGGGTTGGGGAACTAAAGTGACAATCTAAATATTAACTAAGAAAAATAAAGAAATTGTCTGTTCCCAAGTAAACTTACCAAACTAAGCATATGAAATTATGTGCAGAAAACAGAAAATTCATGAAAGGGAACATTAATGCAAAACAGTGCTTACCAAACCTTAGGAAACAAAGTGTACAAGCTCTCTTCCCAAAATGTAAAGCTTGACAGATAGCTGGATAAATATATGTTAGGAGGAGTTCTTCTCTAGACAAAGATGTAAGGCTCTGATTGTTAAAGCCAATCATTATTCTGGATAAATCCACCTACAGCAATACCATATAAAGCCAAAGACAGGGTGGTTGGTTTTTATTTGGGGTGGAAGAGTGGGGGGAGGTCTGGCACTCAGAAGGCTCACACAAAAAAACCACAGTAGTAATGAATCATAAGGTTATTCTTATGGGAGAATATACTTTCCTCCTCCAGTGATGAGATCATATGGAAAGCTCAAAAACCATAGCAAACTGAACCCTAACAGACATCATTCTTTCGCCCAGATGGAACGTGTTGATTCTTTCACATCCCAAGTTCTTTAGCTCAGTGCACAGTGACACCAATGCACAGTCTGCTGACCTAAGCCTTTTCTCTCCCCAAAAAGTGGATGCTTGGTTTTCCCCTCTCAAGAAATAAAAAGGATAAACAGACTTAAATGATCACACAGTACGATCACAGCCACAGAAAAGATTGTTTAAATATACAAACAAGAGCAAAGAAAAGCTGTATTTGCTCTGATTCTCAACCCTTAGTATTTCTGTCAGTGATGTAACAATAAGGTTTTCTGAAAATCATATCCCACTACTGTTTCTTCTGGTGAATCAATGTTTTTTTGCTATGTTCTCAATTTACAGAAACATAACAACATGTTCTTAAATGTGCAGTCTTTGTGGGACAGAAGGAATGGAAAGAGACGCTGATTCATCAAACGCCTGTTTAGGATTTTCAAACCATGTGGCACAAAGCTAGAAAGAAACTCCAGACATTTCCAATACTAACATCTTAAAATACACATTTTTTTAAAAAGCAGCTAAATGCTGGTCCAGATACCAAGTTTTATATATTGGCAGAGGTGTTTTCTAAGATAAGTTTCCCTGCTTGTTCTGAACCCCAACTGGCACATCACAGTGAAAATGTGTGTTCTCTGCTTCAC